ATAACATATTTAGCGAGATTTACCGTACGCGGTATTTCTTATATTTAGCAAGTTTACCATATGGGATATTAGTCACATGCATTTCAGACATTTACCGAGATATACCATTCATCATAGGGGACTTTTTTTTACCAGGGCTGAATTATCATGTTTGTGACAGGATTTTTGAATTTCTATGAGTGTAACACAGCTTTTAATGCTAGATTACATTGTTATGCGGTATTTTATATATATATATATATCTCCTGGAGAAAAGTTCATTTTGAGAAAGACTTGTAAAAGTAGCAACCCAGGCTTCAATCTGAAAATTGATATGGGGGCGCTAGCTTGTTACACTGGGCAGCGCCCTTATTCCCCTGACAAAAAAACTCTGGTTCAAACATTGAAAAGCCTCTTTGTAGGCATGTCATACAGATATCAGATAGTGGAAAAATAAAGTCACTGACTAATATATCATCTTCTCAGGTCCCGAGCCTGAGGACCCGGAGTATGAGCAGGAGAGACAGGCGTTTGAGGTCTGGGGCGATCAGAACCGGGCCCACAACAGACTAGAAGCTGTCTGGGTGGATTTGAGGCCTGGGGCGAGCAGAACCGGGCCCTCAACAGACTAGAGTTGGTCTGGTTGGATGAGCATCGGCTGATGTCGGATAGGATGGAGCCTGCAGCAGCTTGGAGCAGCTCCTAGTTTTGTTTGATCGTTTTTTAAATTTCTATTGCATGTTTAGATACATGTAATCTGTTTATAAAATCCCTTTACCGAACATATTAAAAAGTTTTAACTAATCCCATAAAACAATATTAAACATTACCATGATACAAAATAAATCCCACTGTATGATTATGTATCTAACAATCCAATCTAAGGGTATGTTTAATGTTTTTATTAGGAGAAGACGAGCTGCCACATTATAACATGTCTCTCTTGGCTCCTGGGACGAAGATTATGATTGTTACCTTGGTTTTCTTTTCTCCCTTTTATTTGTAGTTCTTAGTTAAATGTTTGTACGAATACATGTTTCAGTCTTTGTTTTAGTTTGTTTAGATAAGAAGGTATCTTTGAGTCAAGTCAAGTCATAAGTCAAAGTTTATTGCACAACAATTGTAACAGGTACAACGTATGGCAGATAAGATTACTAGCTAGTATGTGTCCACTAAAATACTGCATATAGATTCAGCGGGTACTATCTTTATCAGTATGCTGAATACAACTAAGAACTAGTGCATATCACAAGTACGTGCTAGACTACGCTAATGATCTATACAATGAGCAGTTGTGTATGGACCATACAGATTCTATAAGTAATAGACTTTACAGAGTATTGACCAACATATTCACTTAGATCTGTTACAACTCTACATATAAATGCTAAGATTCGTTATACTATTTTGATGATTGTTTGTTTTGGGTAGGCCTCTTTTGCAGGTTTTTCATGGCTACGCTAATCTCCTCTTGTAAATATAACCCCAAAGTGACAAGATGGTGGAGCTATCTCTGTATCTCTTTATTATATAGCGAGAAACTAAGATTAGAGAATAGAAGGCCTCTTCTGTTAGATATATGTACTATAGTTTTTTTTTCCATTCCTGACAGTATCTGTATCTATAGATTAGCCGGTATAGACAAACCTTCCCTCATGTTTTAACACTGGCCTTTGACTGGGTATATACATTTAAGTTTTTGATTATATCAAAGAGTTGTTGGACAGAAGTTTGTATAACAGTCTTTCGTGCCAAATGGAGTCAATTAGGCTTTTGATAGGTCAACAAAACAAGTATAAATAAGCGTTTTCCCGACAGTGTATTCAAATATAAGGGTTTTTGATATGAAAATGTTATCTGATGTCCTGTAGTTTTTCCTGAATCCAGTTTCATATAGATGGGGTTACTAAGCACCTGCATAATGTATAATCCTGAGCTATACTCCCTCCCAAATTTTGTTTGTTAGAAATTAGCATGTGCTAATATATATAGATAGTAACTACATTTAACCCACTCTTACTAGTAAAACTTAGCAAGTTTTGTAGAATGCTGGCCCCATCACTGGGATTGACCCCTGGAATGTTACCCGTGAAATTTTTATTTATTTTTTATTTATTGGTTCAACTGTAGAAAGACAAGGTGTACAGCCAGGGCAGCCCAACTAGCCAGACGGCTATTATCAAGGGCTTGCCCTGCTGACAGGACAAACATTTATACATACATTGCAACAATACAAAACAACAACGTGGAGAGGTCAGGGTCACAAACCTAAGGCTTGTAGGGGTCACCTAAGGAGTCCCATAGCTTTCTTTTGAAGGAGGCAATAGTAGTGGCAGTACGAGCGTCACTGGAGAGAGTATTCCAGAGTGACGTAGCTCGGTAGAAGAATTTTCTCTGGCCTCTGGAGGTTTTGGTAAGTTCAACAGTCAGGTGGTTGCTGTTCCTGAGGGGATAACGGGATTCAGTAGCAGATGCACGGTTTCACACCCGTGAAATTCTCATGTTGCTGTTTAATTAATATTAAACACTTCCCACAAACATGGCCCCTTTTACTGTAAGCTAAGCTCAGGAATATGGGGAAATTGGGGAAACTAACAGGTCTACTTTCGACATCTCCATAAAGAAATTGTATGACATCGCTTCTGATAACAATCGTAAAACTGCAGCAACTACATTCAATCCTATCCAGTTAGTATTCGGGCTTGAAAAAGCGCGAATATCGGCCGCCATCGCTGAAAATCAGCTGGTCGCCAAAGCTACGTTGACCACCACAAAAGCTTGGAAGTGTTACAGATAGGCATCAAGGGTGTAACAGATGAGCTACTTGTGCTATGTGTGGTAGAAGCGCAGGGCAGGAAAGCAGAGAGCTCAATTTCAGCAACTTCCTGTTCCGCTGGTATACCCAATTCAGAAACCCCGACGTCACATTTCTGCGAAAACAAATCGATCCATGGTTTGGCCATTCAAAATATCTATATTGACAGCTGTAAGAATAGCTGGATGTTCTGCCGTATACCAATTAACTTCAGGGATAATTTGGTCTGTCGTCAGTGTTAGCACCATCTCAGTGTAGTTCTAATATTGAGGCCAAGGGGAACAGATGTTACACTGTGATGACTACGTTACAGAAAAATTCTGCTTTTGACACTGAAAGTGTGGATCTTTTCGGTGAACGGCTGTTGGTGTTCCATGATATTGGGATGTTTCTCGCAGCTGACCTATGTTGCTCGATGTTCATTTCAAGTGTTCCTGTGGAGGAAAAACAAAGATTAAGAACAAAGTTTAGTACTTTAATATAGTAATACTGTTGTTGCATTGTGTTTTTTGATTTAGTTGATGACGATCGCGGCCAGTAAACACAGAAATAATTTGTCAAGTGGCTCTCGCCTGAAAAAAATATATCTTTTTGGCTTGAATATGCATCTAGAGTACAGAAATAGCACGAATAGGAATATGTGTATTAGGCTGTGAATTGTTCCAATATGTCGTCCGAGAATATTGTCCAAAACACAGTTCTGAACCGCTTTCACGTAGACAAAATACTCATCAGTTGTCAGCTGCGACCGGCATTATACACAATTCTTGGCAGATTTCTGGTCATGAGACACATTCCATAAACTGCCTTAAAGTTACACGAACTAAACTTGATCCAGTCCAAGTCCATTGAAGCAGTACAAAATAGGGCATGCCGAATCACTTTGTTAGCTATGATATAGCATCAAGCCTACTCTCACTATCTACCTTGTACCAGAGACGTATTGATCTCTGTGTTAACACAATTCCGAGTAAGAACCTCTAGGTTCAACAACACCTTGTCTTCTTAATTCTTGCCTCCAATTCAGTCTTAGGGCTGCCACCGTACAGACGATCGTTATGATATCACGAATAAAAAAAGTCATTTAAACGGCAGAATCAATAGACCTTGCCGACAGCGACATACAAGTTACCACAACATGTTAAAGGTTCATTCTACACATAAAATGTAAGGGGCGACCACAAATCAGCCACCTTTGTGAAGACAAAAGGATCTGAAAATAGAATCTACCCACCTCACGCTACTGCCCTTCTTCTCCAACTGAAGTACTCTCTATATCCATCCGCCAGAACTGGTGAATATCACTATACGATACGAAACATTATTCTACTAATTCTACTAATTGCGTAACAAATATAACATTTATAAAAGTAACCCAACTGTTTAAAACCGAAAACTTATCATAACTATTAAGATGTTTTGTCTTTATATACGCACTACTTTATGGCGGCACTTTTGTAAATCCTGTCTGGCGGCTATTTGGTTACGTAACCCAGCGAGGCTCACTTAGGGTTTGTCAAAGTATATTACTTGATATTGGGGTAAAATCTTGCCGTAAAATGTTGGCACAGGTTTACATTGAAATAAAGGAAATAGTGTGCAGGAAGGGGTAGGAAGCCAAGAAGGCTTATACAGAGCCCACCTCTGAATTAATGGAAACAAAGATAATGCAAAGAAAACCAATATATAACAATACTTTAGCAACGCAGATCACTAATAACACTTAAAAAAAAAGTGAGCTGAGGGCTGTGCTAGCAACCTCCATTGAGGACCTCCGCAGAGGACCTCCATGGAGGTTGCTAGCACAGCCCCTTCTCCTGGGAGGGGAAGTAATTTCCACCCCTCCACCCCTCCCACACAAGAGAACTGTTACAAGGCTTGATTAGAGACCAAAGCTTCCTTGGTCGCATCAGCTTGTCTGACAAAGCTTGTCACAGTTACTAGTTGCAAATGATTCTTTCTACCAAAACAAAATACGTAAGAGAAAAAAGTGCTTTAAGCCGTATTTTATCTAAATCTAAATCGTTTTGATTATCTAAACTGCGACTTTTTGTCCATACTGGGGAGAGTTGTAGTAGCTCAGAGGAACAGTACAGAATAGGCTTGCTCTGGAACTGCAGCGATATATTCTTTAAAATATTCAAAAGGGGATAACTCAAGAACCGGTTGACGGATCGTCGTGATTTTTGGTATGTAGGTAGCTTACGTGATCCTTCATATAATTATGTGACAATTATGCAAATATGGATATAATTTGCATAATTTATGGGGAAATTCTATAAATCAGCTGCATGTTTTAGAGTACATATGATGATAGTGGAACTTGGAAGTAACATGCTAAAACTTGTTTTCTGCATTTTGCTCGTGTACGAAAAAGATTATCAACCCAATGGTGTGGATAGCAAATAAAACACAATACAGTACATCCTCTCTTGTCTTTTGTTTCTTTCCCAGTATTTTCGAAACTTAATAAGCAGTCTGGATTTCACACTACATGGCTGTATGGCAGGTAGTATCAAATTTTTATTTATTTATTTTTTTTCGCCCGCCCGCTCCATTTTTTTTCTACAAAAATCCGTTAACCAAGAAAATAAATTGGTGTGGCCTAAGGAAACATTTTAATCAATGCAAAATTTGAGCTCTACCCACTACATGCTAAGTGATTAAGCAGAATAATCAACAGAATATAGAATATTAGAGAGTGTTAATGCTATTTATAGTGGACTTGTTCTGTACATTATTGATAAACTGTATTTGTACAATGGATTATGCACAGGTAAGAAAAGGAGCGCCAGTGTACTGGTAGTGGACCAGGATAGACTTACAGTTACTCGTGTATAGTCTCGTATTGTGATTAACGAATCCCCATACCACTAAAATGTGCCACTTCAACTCAGTTGGTGTAAGGCGTCCCACGGTGCCAATTTACTGATTTTTCAGGTCCTTTCGGAAAAATGCCATAACTCAGCCGTAGCTGGTCAGAAATGGTTCAAACTTGGGGGAAAGGCAAAATACAACTTGTTGAGTGTTGAAATATTACTTTCATGTTGATATATTTCTTATATTTGCATATTTCTATGTCTGATATGATGCATAATTCTTAAACAGAAAACGTAAATCGAGGAACTATAGCCAACATCATAGACAGATGCTTTTTGGAGAGTACATTCTTACATCTGTCACCATTTAGAAACTGTTTTGATATATTTGAAATATTATTCCTGCTTTTTATGAAATATGTTTTTGTCCATTTCAATGCCATAATTTTAGGGTAACCCTAACTTCCTTGCCCTATATCAAAAGACAGTTCATGATAAGCAAACGGATCTAAACCGGTTTGGGTAGTTCAGGACATTACCAATCATTCTACTTTGAATCTGACATTCCCTGGGCATGGCTATAGTTCCTCAAAATGCTTCAAAGTTAAGATTATGAATCTTTACCTTCTTAGCAAATTCTAGCTGTCAATCACGTCGGTAGGCCAATTAGTCGTGTATTTAGCACCTCTATGAGACGTAATTATCTGTAATTTACCCTTGCCACAAGACAAAAGGTTGGCAGTCTTTTGTTATGCGCAGTAATTGTTCACTACAGCTCGGCCCAGCTTTCCTTTTTTTCAATATAGGTCTTGAAAGAAAATGTTTTACAGACAATAACAAATTGACAACAATTGAATGAAAGGTTTATACGGCTCATAGCCTGGGTGCCAGACTGTTACCAGGGCTGCTATGTAGGCTACCTTCTCAATCCAGGGGGCAGCATTTCCCTTCCGAAAGTTTTTTCACAGGGTCTATCCAAGGAGGTTAAATATAACCTCCTTAGTCTAACCAAACTCAATGGTCTCTTGGCATATCATATCTCCTTTGTCTAACCGAGTCTAATAACAGGGCATGTGTATTGAGGCTGGGAACTGTCTGGCATATAGTCTGAACGGGTCAATACTGGGTGAATTTGCAGAGATTAGCTTTATCGGAAATAGTTGGGGCTATTAAACCTTTTCCAAGATGTTCCAAACAATTTCTAATAACGTACTGTCCACACCCTAATGTTTTAGATACTAAACTGGCACAGCCGAACACTATAGCCGACCTTGCTCCCGACTCTTAACCAAGGAGGTTATATCACCATCATGATGGTTGGGTGAGCTCGGGAGGCCATGTTTATCTGTTAGTGTTACAGGGAATCACTGTGGCCCACTCTCCATGTCAGTTATCCCCATTTTTTTATGGGTTCTAATATTTGTGGCCCTTCCTAAAGGGGCCCTTTGTAGGTCATGCTGGAGGTAACTTACATATATCTTCAGGTTGTTTGGGGGCCAGATTCAAATCAGAATAAATGTGTTGTAACTTACAGCAAGAGCTTCAAATAGAACTTGTTGATCATTGCTTACAGTTGTTTTGTCTGTGTTACTAGTATTTATGCAAGCCTGACATCCGTTCTGCTCTTGATCAGCCAATTGAGAACAAAAGAGAGGGGTACCAATTAACTCCACAGGATGGAATTAGCGCACAAATCAAATGCAAAACGGCAGGCGGGGCAGAGGCACTGGGTTATCACTCAAACTGTTGCATATTTACAAGTTTCAAGACTGCATTTGGCTCATTATAATATTCAAGTAGGTCATTATAATATTAAATGAGATCTTTGCTGTGGTCAACCGTGGGACGCCTTACACCAACGGCACACATCAGCCTTTTCTCCAGGTTTATGAGGTGACTGATAAGAGATGCCTGTTCACCCAACTTGCTTCTTTCATGAAGAGCCTGTTCTGCTATGGTGTACTCCTGGAGCAGATGCTTCATTACCTCCACCATCTCCTCCCTCAACATTTGCTGCTCTTCCTTTGCCCGCAGTTTCTTGTTCAGTGTGTCGATAGCGTTCCGCTGAACACTATGAGGTATCCCTTCTTGTACCTGGAGAAGCAGTAAAGCGTTACATTACTTTCCTTAGATATTTAATTACAAATTAGCTAGTCTTCTAACAGTATAACAATAACCTGTTTTGGTTCTGAAAAGTTACACACAATATTTATGTAGTTTAGTGACGAATTATCCCAAAGAAAATTGCAGGACATAAGTGTGACGATTTTGGAGTAATTGATGAAAATGTGAAAACACACATTTGTTATTGTACATCTATCAAATTACATTCAGATTACATTCACAGAAAACGAAACAGGTGTAAGCCTCAGGCAAATGCACGTGTAATGATGAGTATATACTATGTGCAAGACATACCGTAAATGTTAGATCAAGATTGGTGTATACATCCCATTGAGGTTGTCTTGCCTCTGCACTGGTGATGGTACTGGGAAACTTGGTCTGTTGTGGGGCCCATTGGATGTTGTTGTATTCAGTACAAGTTTTTTCCAACTTGTTTTCAGCTGTCTCGACAGCTTAACTGCTATCGCTTGTCCATCTGGCAAGGAAAACAGGAAGCATTGAGGCTCCTGAATGTAAACAGTACTTAAAAGAAATATGAAAGATGCCTAGCACTCTTGCACTGGATGGCATGCTACTAAAACAATTCTTGCAACCTGAAAATAGTAGTCATTTGAATCAAATGGACAATATATAAATCACTTTTTACTATAATAATCAGAAGCACAGAGTAAAAGAACCTGCAAACTACACAAAAATTAAAAAATGTCTTTCAAATACTAGTAGTGTAATGTACACATGTACACATGTACATAAAGTTTGATGTACAATGTACATGTGTGTTGTGTATTGAGCATATCATTAATACTTTTTATAAAATGTAGAATACATACCTGGGTATTTTACTTTTAACCCAAGCAAATAGGCCAGTTCCCATGCCTGGGTTCTGGCCTTGTCAAGGAGTTGGGTTCTTGCCTCCTCATCCACTAACTTTAGTATTCGCTGATACTTAGGATCTGAGGGTTTCCATCGCCGCCCAAGTTTGTGCTTTGCTTCCATCGTTTTCAGTTTTTCTTTCATCCTGTGAGCAAAACAACATTAGCTCAACTCCAGTTTTCAAGAAGTGGTTTTTATTATGGCCACAACAATTAAATGTTTTGGGTAATATTCTCCAATCTCCATAGACTGCAAATGTAATGTGATAAGGCTAAAAAAACAAGGCGGGGGAAAAACAACAACAAAAAAAGATAAACAGAAATGTGCAGTTCGGATTATAGAGCATTTTGCAACAGAGCTTATAGACGTTTTGGCTTGTTAACCACCGTCACATGGCAACAAGATTTGTTTTATTTCTACATCATGAAAAAATTGTTATCCATAAAAATTACTTGCTGTGACCCTAGGCCACACCGACTTAATTTTATGGATGACATCCGCGCGCGCATTGATTATCGCCTGTCGCCCTCAAAAAAAAAAAGATCCACCAAGGCTCTTGCCTGGCTCTAGGCCTGGGTAGTCCATGGTAGTCAGTGGAAAACGGAGCCGAGCACCCAGGCTAGCGAATTCGAAGCTCCGCGACTCAAGAACTCAGTACATAAATACAGTACCGATTCATAAATGCTGCAAAAAGCCAGCATGTGCCGGCTTATCGTATACGTCACTAAGTACTGTGGCGAATTCACAATACCAGCTGTGGTTTAGTAGCATTTTTATTTTTGGCCGGAATTTTTTTTTTATTCGCCAGCGCGCACTAGTTTGGGGGTCTTCATAGGATGTCATCCATAAAATTAAATCAGTGTGGCCTTACATGTACTTACTAGTTAACAGGAGCCCCAATTTACTTCAATTTAAAATTGAGAATGGTTGGCCCATGCCACTGTGGATTAAGAAAAATACTCATGGCTGATAAATCTACTTACTTACCCCTTGAGTACTGAATAGGAAGCAGCCAGGTCACTTAAGCTTCCATCCTCTGCATTTTCAATTTCTTCCCTGAAATTAGATACATGTAAGTTGATGATCAGAGACTCAAGATTACCTTGTTTTCACAACTGCTCCACAGTGTCAATGTCAAATGTGTACAATCGTGAAATGTGAACAGTGGCCGTAATTTTTTTTTTCATGTTGACTTCTCCACTGCAAAATCATGACACTGGGATACATGTGTTTCTATTTTATTATCTTTCTACTGCATAATAAAGTTTTAGCAACTACAAAACAGAAGGAAAAAACTGCTAAAATTATCCTGCCTTCCTAGTGTGCTGCAATTGGTGCTTCAACAAATACCATGTACTAGTGTTCAAAGCATTGACTGATTATTTTATGTCTGCAAACGATCAAAAACTGAATTACACCCACCGTAATGCATGGAATTCTGTGAGCTTCATGACATACTCCTTTTCACACTTGCGAGGACCAGCTGGAAATAGTACAACAACTTACTGAGATCTCTCTCTCATTAAAACACTGCCACTGTTACAATACATAGACAACAATTATGAACAGGAAAAGGGTACAAACATATATGACAAGCCTGAAGATATTGTGTTTGTTTGAAATGTCACAAACTTTGTTTTAAACCAATTTTCAGTTTTCCGCGAAATGGGGGTTAGACGTGCTTGCACCAAGTGCAAGTCTTTTTTTTTTAAGTAAGATTTTTTATGGCTGGATGCTCTTCCTAACGCCAACCCAAACCCTAGTAAGGCTCAGGATCCCTCTTACTGAGGGAGAAATGCGTGTTAAGTGCCTTTCCCAAGGGCACAATGTCTGGGTGCATGTCCTGCCTGAAGTGGCATCTTCGTGGTGTAGTGGAAATCTGGCCAAATTAACAGTATGGACAACACATTAACAGTATGGTAAACACAGACTGTGATAACCTCGTGTTGAAGTACATGTAGACAAAACAATATGCCCTAACATCATGCATACATGTGTGTGTAGATTCAAACTTGGAAAGTCATTATAAAATGACTGTCTATTTTAAGACACATATTTATGGTTCTAAAAATGACAAACTACTTAACATGCACATACCTGTAGACGTTGGTCTACGCTTGTGTTGGAGTATAGTCTCCTTCTCCTCTTTGTCCCACCTGAGGATGTCCTCTTCTGAGACTGGAACTAAGATTATATCAACAAGAAGTACCAAAACATCATCAGACAATTCTTATATTACAGTGACTTTTAACTACAGATGAAAAACTTTTGTAAGTGCATGCTATAACATCCAGGTGCAATGGTTTCATTGCCTAAGTTGTGGGAATTGTCTATAATCCATAATGGAAGTCATGTCAATATTATTATACTTTCATTCAAGATTCAATTGTAAGTTAAATCTACAATAAGGCACATACACACATACATACATACAGACAGGCATACATACAATATCATACATACATGTACATGCATATCATTGCCATACAATTGACGATATAATTATGAGTTCAAATTTGGAAATTGTGCAGAAAGATGTATGCATTTACCAGGTGCCTGGGCAATGATCTCTTCCAACTCTTTATCTGCTTCAGCATACATTTTCTCAGCTTTTTCCATTCTGTGGCATATGCTCAATTCTGAAATACACATTTATCAGTAAAAATGACAGTTTGCTGCTGAAACAATACAAAATTTGGCCTGATTTTCTTAATCTAATGTTACCCAAAACCAAAGCACAATGTAGGAAAGTTAAGGATGTAAAAAATTCACCTATGTCAGTTGACTTGCGTCTGGCATAGTGCAGTATGCCATCAGTCAACATATCCAGACGATGAGATCGTGTCATTTCCTTTGTTGACCTGAAGAATGGCCTGAGGTATGACCATAACCTCTCCATCCCTTCCCCGTCAGTTAGAACGTACCCCTCCTGCCGCCGTGTGCTGTACAATATCTATCAAGAAATTAGAACCAAAACAAATGTCATCATTTTGCATGTCTATCTATTTTTCTCAGCTATTCAACAACATCTTACTTAAATGTTAAGGTTTCTATATCCACTACTATTTTGTTATACTGTATTGCATTGATACAGTAGTTTTCACTCAGTACAATGTACATACATGTACTAGGTACTTATAACAGCATATATATTTGTATCTAAGACTTAAACATAATTACTGACAGTCTCACATCTTTACGTAAATCAAAAGCAAAACAATGTCTGTCTGGGGAAAAAGGAAAAACTACCTGACAGTGTGTCTTGTGGCCATATATATGAAATGATGGTATTGCAAACTGCAGGTGCTGTGAAAGGTTCTCTTGTGCATTTCCCTTAAAAATGAAAAAATTACATAAAAAATTGAAAATCATCCAATTCCACAAGTCCTTTCAACATCGTATCTTTCTTCAGTATCAAAATCACAATGAAGGAAGAACATTTGTCATGTAAGTAATAGAGGTAAGGCCACACCAAGAAATTGTATGGATGACGTCTGCGCGTGCATTGATTTTGGCCTGTTCCTAGAAAAAGAAAAGAAATTCTGCTTACTGTAACTATGACCAAAGAGTCACAACAGTGCCACAAATACCTTTCTTCTGTAAAAGAAATGTGGCATGGTTTCTGCATCAATTTCCATGGATCCGTAATCTTTACTATGTGAAAAAATCTATGTATGGGTAGTGTTTAGTATTTGCAATAAAAAAACCAATTACCGAACGAGGTACTTGTAGATGTGACTTCAGGACACAGGCAATGTCATAAATGACACGAAGTTGTAGGTTGTTGTCCTGTGCCTGCTTCAGGAGTTCCTTTATGAGGAAAACTGGGTACCCCAATCTGAATGGAAAGTGAAGAAATGATCATTACTTTGCTTTTCTTCCTTTATAAATTGCAGCATACAATGTAGAGGATGATAACTGCACAGTATGCATTCACTGCCTGTGCTTAAAGATGCAACTAATATATCTTATGATTGCTTACCTTTCTCCCTGGGTCATATTGATGAATTGCAGTGGCATCTCATGTCTACAGGTGGCCCCGAACACTCCTGTTACATCCAGTTTTGTCTGTTTGTTTTTGGATCTTATCTTGGACCCAGCCTGAAAGTCGCTACAGTCCTGGAAGTTAATACAATACATTATGGTCGTACCTTAAGTTGTAGATACATTTGTACATGATTGTATTACTGCGGATGTTTACCATGGTTTCGAGATTTATCACAACAGAAGAAAGCACTCCTGCACTGTGACCTTTATGTTCTAAATTTTTACATTTACCGTAGTGTGGTAAAGCAGTTGCACTAACTTACCAGTACTACATACATGTAACTAACATAATACATGCACATCACGTCTGATCGGCGCATATAAGATCATTACCTCTTTGCCCAAACTGAAGTATTGTAAAACAAACACTGGCAATATAAGTATCAGGTTTATCATGTAAAATCTTGCAGTATCTCACCTCATCGGGTTTACTTGCATCAGAATAAGTATCCAAGAAACTTTCTACTTTTGCATCTTCAGCAAACATCCTGTTGCCGTGATGTGGTGCTGCATGACTTGTACCAGAGCTCGCCTTGCGTACCAGGCCAAAGTTTGCATCCAGTAAGACAATTTGCTCCCCATCCCTCTGAGAGTAAAAAAAAGAGATGATTTCATAATACATCATTAATTCATACACAATCAACACTCAAATAACCAATATCATGATACTAAAGAAATTGAAAAACAAATATATGTCAATAATCATAATTTTCTCTCAGTAACTGAAACTTGCGTGGCTACCATATTTTCCATGAATTGTAATTTGTAATGATGTTGGACACATACCTTGGGGCATGCTGGGCAATGTGTTCCATCATCTAGGTCTGCACAAATATGCTGCAGTGTTGACTTCTTATAAAGGTAGTGGCGGAACTCTGCAATTGGTGCACACACCAGTGCTCTGTATAGACTGTCAGACTATTTGAAATTTAAAAAAAAGACCAAACATCAAAAACGGTAACAATGGAGCCGAATATCAAAACTCCTAACTCATATAATAATGCACCGTCTTTATCAGAATAACAATCTGGTGTGTCAGCCTTTCTTCTTCTTCTTCTTTCGTTCCTCTAACAACCCCGTAAGGGGTATCGCTGAGGGGGGGGGAGGTGCGTGGACCTTACAGTAGAGAGGCCCGAAAGGCCTCCACAGATTGTGCCTGTATGGCCTGGGCAGGTAAGCTGTTCCACTCTCGTATCGAGCGTGGGAAAAATGAGAATTTGAAACAGTCTTTTGTTGCAGGAATAATATTGTATTTAAAGGCGTGGCTACCTCTGGTGCGCCGCTGTGCAGGAATAAGATATTGTTCAGAGGGTATGTGCATGTGACCGTGAGTTATTTTGAACATTGTAGTCAGACGTGCCTCTCTTCTTCTGTTTGCAAGAGTGGGCCATTGGAGTTTTTGCAACATTTCAGTCACACTACTGGTGCGGGCATAGTCATTCATGACCATCCGGGCTGCCCTGCGTTGTACGCGCTCAACTGCCTGCACCCCACCAGCTGTGTAGGGGTCCCACACTGAGGCGCAGTACTCGAGTTGAGGGCGCACCAGGGCTTTATAGCAAGTGTTTTTGACTTGCGATGTGCAATGGCATAAGTTACGCCGGATAACTCCCAAGGTCCTGTTTGCCTTACCAGTAGCGTGAGCAATGTGAGCATCCCAACGCATGTCGTTGGAGATGTGAACTCCCAAGTAAGGGTACGATTTTTACAGTCGTAAGATTTACCGAGCAAAGACTGTACTGCGTAACAAGTGGTCTACGTTTGCGTGTAATGTGAATAGTGTGACATTTAGCTGGGTTAAAATTCATTTGCCAACGATCCTGCCACTCGGTCAGCGCGTCCAGGTCGGCCTGTAAGCCCTGGGCGTCTGTCGGGCTCTTAATAACCCGGTATAACAAACAGTCGTCGGCAAACAAACGTACGTTACTATTAACTATGTCGGGCAAATCATTTATGTAGAGGAGAAAAAGAAGCGGGCCCAAGACCGTGCCCTGAGGCACACCGGATGTAACCCTTGAGGGTTTGGAGGATTCGCCGTCAAGAACTACGGTCTGTGTCCGCTCCGTTAGGAAGGCTTTGAGCCAGGACAAGATGTGCCCTTTGATGCCGTAGTACTGGAGCTTACTCAGCAGGCGTTGATGCGGTACCGTATCAAACGCCTTGCTGAAGTCCAGCACCACGGCATCAATTTGAAAGTTTTGGTCAAGACCATGTGCTAGATCATGGGTAGTTACTAGTAGTTGGGTCTCACACGAAAGTCCTTTTCGGAAACCATGCTGTACCGGGCATAAAATATTGTATTTGTCAAGATGGGACATTATATGGCAGTGCACAATATGTTCTAAAATTTTGCTACAAACAGACGTCAGTGAGACTGGCCGGTAGTTTGCTGGCGCAGCCTTGTCACCTTTTTTATAGATAGGTGTGATGTTTGCAGACCTCCAATCTAGAGGCACATCACCAGTGGTTAGGGATTGTGTGAAAATGACTGTTAATATAGGTGAGACCTGAGTAGCTACAGTTTTTAATAGCCTAGGTGATAACCCGTCTGGGCCTGTTGCCTTGTTTGGATTTAAATTTGTGAGTAGCTTGGCTACCCCTTCCACTGATACCTTGAGCTCTGGTATGGTCGGTACTGGAGGTTCACCAAGAGTTGGGATGGTGTTAGTGTCTTCCTTAGTAAAAACCGACTCGAACTGTTCCCCGAGGGCCTCTGCCTTCTCTTTGGGGTCTGCTGTGAGGACTCCCTGGTGCCTTATGGCAGCTGTATCAGTGGAGTCTTGTCTAATAGATTTTATATAGTTCCAAAAAGCTTTGGGACTCTCTTGTATGTTAGCCTCTAAGTAACTTGAGGTGTATTCTTTGTGAGCTTTCTTGACCCTGTGCTTAACCCCTCTTCTACATGTTTTAAATTTAGACCAGGCATCTTGGGTATTTAATTTCCTGGCTTTAGCATACAACTTGTCTCTTTTGCGCATGGCCCTCCTGATTTGTGGAGTGATCCATGGCTGGCTGTGTCGTTTCCTAGCCTTCTTACGTGGTATGTGCTTGTTTGCTGCACTGAGTAAGGTTGATTTGAACGCTTCCCAGTTCTCAGAAGCTGTTCTTGTTGGTGCTTCCTTCATAAAGCTATTACTGTAGTCCATCATGTCCTGTTGCAGTGCTTCTATATCGGCTTTTTTCCAAAGGTATACTAACCTATCTTTCTTGTGTATTGTTTGTGGTTTAGCATATATATCTAGCAAGGGTATATCATGGTCACCAAGTCCAGGTATAATTCTGCTCTTCTCTATAAGTGTAGGGTTTGTTGTAAAAAATAAGTCTAGGGTATTTGTTGTTTGCCCGATACGATGGGTTGGTTCGTTAATAACCTGTTCGAGGCCAAAGTCATTTGCCAGTCTAGCATACCCATTGGAGAGATTTGAGGTGGAATTTGAGGTGGTATCTGTGTTCCACCTAGCTGTGGGGAGGTTAAAGTCTCCCGCCAGCCATATGTGAGAGTTTCTGGACTGATCTCGTATCCGAGTCAGGGACTGTTCAAGAGATGTCAAGTCACTCTGGTCGGCAGATGGTGGGCGATAGTAAGCCCCTATGTGTACTGTTTTGCTGTGTGCAAGCTGTATTTGAACCCATGTCAGTTCGCTCGTACAGTCAGGATCTGGAAGGTGAGTGGCTATGATGGAGTTCTTCACTGCTATGAAGACTCCACCTCCTCGCCCTTCCCTGTCCTTCCTGTAGGCGGAGTACGATGTCGGAAAGATCTCGCTATTGCCTACAGTTGGGTCTAGCCATGACTCAGTACCCACTATGACGTCTGGTTTGACTGTATCACAGAAGACATGGAATTCAGACACCTTATTCCTTATTGACTGGAAGTTTATGACTACCGCCCGAAGGGGTTTCTGTTGGGTTTTGACCCTAGGTGGTGGTTTTGGAGCTTGACCAGTTGGAGTTGAAGTGGCAACAGGTGAGCCTATCATGTTCCCTGGGCTAGAACAGGAACTATGACTGGATGAGGAAAAGGTGAAACAATTAGAGGTTTCAAAGGTAGAAGAACTAAATAAATTGGAGCTGAAGTTAGGAAGTCCACAGCTGCAACAAATCCAAGACACACTGGGTTGGTTAATTGCGTTGTAAACTGGTGTTGCCATACCCATGCAGTCTGTGTGATACCATGTGTCACATGAATCGCAACAGACTGCCCTGCGCCCATCGGCCCTTTCCCACTTAACGGCACGTCGGCACACACCGCAAGGGTACTTAGGTACACGTGGGCCAGGGTTGGGTTGAATATCTCCAGAAAGTAGAATAAGGAGAATGGAGTAAATATGGAAAGTTTGGGCCTTCTAGGGAGGTTCCAAGATTGTTTCGAGTTGATAAAAATGGAAGATAAGGATTGTAGGCATATATTATTACTATTCGATGAAATAATACTAATTGTTGGGAAAATAGAGTTTGGCACTTGTACTTTCAACATGTTTTGTCTTTTCTCTTTATGAAGGAAGTTTTGGTGAACAGGTTTAGAATGAGGTATGCATAATATACAACAATGCACAGCCAGTAATATGCTGGCTAGTACTACAAAAGTAGCAAACATGCTGAAGTTAGAGGATGGCACTCTGCTCTACACTTGCTCACTTACTAGTTGTAAGCACTCTCTGGACGTTTTTGGTCCAGGGTGCTAGCCACGTGCACGTACCAGTACCTATTTATTACCTTTCTAAGACTTGGTGTGGCTTAAAGTGATATGAAGCAAATGTATTTTTTTCAAATTGAGTAAATTTAGTTCCTTTTACACAAGTCGACATGTTTTGAATAGATATTTCATATCTGGAAGTCAAGAAAGTCATACAAACTTTGCAAAATGTCATATCAATACCGGTAGATCACGGTGCGTAGATGGTCAATTTACACTTATTGTTTATGTATAGTATAGATGAGCAAGACCCATCTTTTGAATTGTCCTCTCTACAGTTATTGTGCACGAACTGATTTTTCCGGGCACAAGTGTTCAAAGGTTATCCTACCTCATAACTAGCAAGATTATTCTTCCAGCGAAGTGCAGTGCAGAACCCTTCTACAGAAACATGACATGCTAGGCTGAAGGAAACCAAACTTTCCAGTAGAGATACTGAAAAAGCTGTTTCAGGGCTTTCTGTGGTTGCTGCCCACAGACCAAAGCGGAGAAGTTGGCATGGTTCGGGTTCACATCGACAGAAGTACACATCGAGTTCACGTGGTCGTCCTGCCAAAAACACATTTACATGAAAGTGAACAACAAATCCAGCTTTTAGCACACAAGCAGACTGAATTTGCTTTGAAGCATGTGTACGCATACATCTGTATCTGTATAGCCGGTATAACTGCCTTTCGGTGTAACACACCAGCTGCGCAGGCACGCGGCGCGGCGGCAGCTGGCTACATTACACCGATCGACTAGTGTTACACCTAACCCTTGCATACATGTACACATAAACACATGTTACCATATTAATAAACTTTCTAATTCTATGTGAATTTCCATACTCTACGTACAGATATTTTTTTTTTACTTTTAGTTTTTTATTTTAAAACGCAGAGCTACATTTTGAAATTCGTTCCTAAAAAATGCCCTCACTCTGAAAATAGAACTAATACAGTTTATCTGGCACAACAAAGAGTTAGAGATTTTGATATGGCCTTGAGTATCTGCATTGCCACAACTACCAAAATAATAATGAAATCTTATCATAGGTACAAATGATGAAAAAAAAGAACATTTACAATCATGCACATTACGTTGAGCACATAACATAGTCACTTCCTTACTTGCCTTTGCCATAAAAGTCCCAAAAGGGAGAGGGACAGGGTGAAGGAAACAGGTGAAACCCATACCACACCTGAGTCATTGTATACTTTCACACGTCTGGGTGATGATCCAGTTATACAATAATGGCCATCACGGCGCCGCAGACAGGCTGTAGCATCCATGAATGGTTGGAAGCATGTACTGGTGTTCTGAGAAGATAGAAAAAAGTAAATTTAGGTTAACTACTTTAAAATGTTGATTAAGATGACATAATGTCGATCATATATAATAATGAGTAACATAGTAATTAAGTACTAATGAATTTATTATTATTATTAAAAAAGGTAACATACCAATAAAGGATCCCGGGGAGCTTGAAACCCAGTACCTGTAGGTTCTAGGCCAAATACCCTACTAGTAGAGCTGTGTACCTAAACAAATCTAAGGTACAGGTACTGGTACAGGTACAAGGGTTTAGGTACAGGTCCAGACCTAAACCTGTACGTAAACAGTCTGACCAATAAACATGTTCTTTTGAACTCCTTCAATATCGAGAAAAACATCAATAAACTTAACAATTAAGGGTTAGTTTTTGTTTTTGGAGAATGCTCAGAAAAACTATGGGCAAAACTAAGAAAAGTAAGATGTTTTTGTTTTCATCTCCTACATGTGCTCTTAGTGGCCTCATGCAACTCAAACCTGACCAAAGTGACATCTACGAGAGAGCATATCTAATACATCTAATACACAACAGATATTTTAGGGTAGTTAACACTGTCAGTCCGCAACACAAACGCGATGTCCTGTCTCTGGGACCCATGGGGACCAGTAATTTTCCTATTTTAGGTCACAGATAAGCATCTAGTAATTAGTGTAACTCTATACAGGTACAGAACTGGTACTGAGCAATTAGGTATTTTGTACCTGTATCTAATCAATTTTTACAATAAAGTATCGGTACTGCAGTACCGGTACACAGCCCTACCTACTAGTACAGTTGTACTAGTAACTGTAATACCCCACAAGTTGCCATGAGCCACAACAGTACCAGAAGAGCCAACTGGTGACAACCATCTTGGTTCTCATTACCCCCCAACCCATCTGAAAACCTGTCAACTACAATGTAATCATAATTATATAAGAAAAGCTTTGCCAAACATACCATCCATACTTCGGGTTGGTGAAGAGAATTCTTGTGGTTCTTCTCCAGGCATTCCAAACAGAAGGTTGCTGTTGGGCCACAATCCTGGCACCTGTATATGCTTGTTGACTGTTGCTGATTGCAAATTATGCAGAACAAGGACATTGGGGCAGACAACTCTGTACCCGTTGAGAGAAGTTTCTCATGGATGTCCCTCCAGCCAGTCACTTCACGTTGTTTGTAGGAGGCATAGCTGGTGCTTCGCTGGGCCTCTGTTTGGTCTATGTTGTCATCAGGTGGTGGTGGGGGTGATGGAGGAGGTTGGGGAGTGAGAGGGTTGTCATCAGTTGACTCATCCATAGGCTCTTCTTGCATTGTCGTGGTTAGAAAGCTTACAGACTTTTTGCCAGTTGATACGTTAGTAAAACGCATTTTCACTTTGGGTCTCCGACCAACCAGCCTCTTTTTGATGCCTGGATACTTTGACATGTCTGAAAAAAGGGAATAAAGAAGAGTTAATCAAAATAAGGAACTAAGGCATTCCCTCACTTGGCCGCAAATAATGTTCGATGTTTGAAATTTTTTATAGGTCCTGTGTTTGAGTACAGCTCCAACACCATGCTTGGTTTAAGAACCCACCACAGATAGGTGTAATGGGAGGCTTTAAAATTGCACGTGAAAACACAGAAATATTCTTACATTGTAAAGGGCCCTAAAAACATTGCTTTAAATGAGTATCAAAACTAGGATTGTTGCCAACTTGGTAACGCCTGTAAACCCCCACTGTTACAAAAACTAATCAGACTTGTATTTCCCTTAACTTTGGTGCTTCGTAGAGAGAATGTTGATCATGAAGCAATGCAGTGTGAGCAAGGAGGTAACTTAAACTTTAAGTTTTGATGTAACGTTAATTACTTTTATCCAGTTTAGCTCGCTTTGGAAGCAGTGGAACGACGTGCTTGGATTCATTAAACGTAGCATATCTTTGTAGAATACTAGTTTAGATCGGCTCAGGATTTGTATGCAGGTAAGTATCTATCGGTGTTAGTGTTGTGCATGCTTTTGATAACGTTAGTAAATCTGGTATTCCTGTGTTGGGGAGGGGGTGTACATGTGTATGATTTCACCGAGCTCGCGGCTGGTATCCAAACGTATTTTAGGCTTTTAGCTAATTTGCGGAGAGGACAAAAGAAATTTCCCTGCCACAGTGCCACTTGTGACTTGCTGCTTCTCTAGACTTTATGCGCATATGCCGTATTTGCTTCTACTTACCTGCAAATTATAGACGTATCATGGGGGCCGCCATTTTGTGAATGAATATGACCTTCCCGACAGCCCCTGCGTTCAGGATTCCCAGCAGCCCGTGCGTTTAGGATTCCCGGATCCACGATGCAATCCTGTCAGAGGAATCCTTCAAAGGACCAAAGGATTCCTTTACATCCATATCTATCATGAACCTTTTTTCACGATCCATGCTTTAGTATCTATAATACCCACATGTAGCGGGTGGTGATCTGGAGTTTGTAAAGAAATTTGGAATCATGAAGCATAGGATATCATTCTACATTCTAGCATTTATTGTAAACTTCACTGGCCTGTAATCACTACAGTAACTGTACTGTAACAGTACTGTTATCTTAATCTTCTGACATATCAAGTAAGACAGTGTCATGGCATTTTTTTTTTATGCAGCTCAGAATTGTATGGCATCAAAACATTTGTGTTTTGGCAAGCTAAAATATAATCAGTTGTTCAAGCTTTGAGTTGGACACTATATGATTATGAAGTCTAAATGTTTGAAGAGCTGCGATTTCATGCCTGAAAACATTTAGTTATGACCCACAGATTTGCTCACATTTTGTCCTGATCTTTCCAAGTCCACAATTGGTTGCCATGGATACAAGACAGTTCCAAGTCCCGAGCTCTCCTTCTCAGACACAGAGAGTGTCCACTCATATCCACCCATGGCTGTCGTCTGCAGTGCTTCACTCCCAGCCAGCTCTACTGTTACAAACTCGCTCCACGAAAAAGTCAGCGACACGTTCGCTTCGTCATAGTCCATACCATGGATTTCAATTGGCACTGGAGGTTCAGATGTTACCCAGAAGCCGTCGGACACAGTAGGCTGGAAGCAGCCATCTTGGTGGCAGAAGTGCAGCGCAGAACGGTTAGTGCCCGCCGGGCGAGAGCTGTAACTCCAAGGCCACCAGAAAACCGGTGTTTGGAGCGTCTTCTATAGTTCTAACAGCCTCCCAAGTTGTGCTGGAAGCAAAAGTGAAAGAAATTTAACTTAGACATCCCAAACTTCTGGTTTAACTACCCAGTAGCTGTATGGCTATTGAAAATTATCAACAGTTGTCATTAGATGGAAGATGTTAGAAGATTGAAAAAATATTGAGAATCTAATCATGGAATGTACAGAATCAAGAATTTTTTTTTATAAATAGTATGGAGACCTGTAAATACACAATCAAGAAGGGAGCTAGGCAGCAAGTAGTGGGCAGAAAATAGTCGCATGCTGTGGTTGCCTGCATTGGTGCCGGCTGAATTCATACAGTGAAAAATAAGAGGAAATATACATCAGTGACAATTGAGCCTACCCTCCTGTGGTCTGCTCCCTCTCCAGAGTCCAGCAAACGTACGACACGAAGTCCTCCATTGGTTCCGGAACGCTCCAGTAGGTGTGCACGGTGGTGGTGGAGGCCTGGAAGTCAACATCGTCTGCACATGACCCGGGAAACGGTGTAGATGTGTGGTGGGTCAACAGGGACTGGTTGAACAGAACTAACGAGAAAATAAAAGGACAAACAAAGAACAGAATTATCAGTGCTTGTGTCAAAAGTCATATTTGTACACAACATGTAAGGTGGTCACTATGTACAAATGTAGAGGTGGTCACTAGTACAGGTTTGACTGTATATTAGTGGCCAGGTGGTCCTTATGTAGAGGTGATCACTAGTACAGGTTTGACTGTATATCAATGGCCAGGTGGTCCTTATCTAGAGATGGTTACTTGTACAGGTTTGACTGTTAAGTAGATTACACTAGTCTGCCTCAAATTCAATAATGAAAATCACAGGAAGGAGCAATGTTACCGTTAGTATTTCATGACTATCATACTTACATTATAATCTTCAACAAAATGGTAAGATTGGACTCACCGGCAGCCACTTCCAGTTCTTGGCCCACCAGGTCTTCAGTGTCGTAGATGGAACCCTCCAACCACACAGCAACCAGGAAGTCTACACTGTTGACTGTCATGTGCGTCACGTTGATCGGAGTCTCAATGACAGGTGGTGTGATGTCAACAGTTACAGGACCAAACACCTGTGATACAAAGAAAACATTTTACACTTCTATTGTTTAAACAGTTCTTGACCTATTCATTTATTTATTTACTCATTTATGAAGCTTTACCACATTATGTAAATGGGTTGACATAAAAGGTGACTATCACCTCTACAGGATGTAAAACCTGAGACCAAACTGTTAGACTTATGTACACTGTACTTCCAAAAGTTGATCATACAATCAGAAATCATGTACATCTACACTGTGCCAATTTGATATTTCATGTTGCCATAAATATAAATGTACATCATTTATGCAATCATCTGTAATATATGTATAACTAGAAAGGCTAACATTTCAGGTCACTGGACTGTAGTATAGTAGTATAACAGGCAATAATGTACTTTCTGGGCTATTTTGATACAAAATAAGCTGAAAAAAGCAATTTACAGGCCTATATGAAAAAAGTGAAATCCAATATTTTAGCAAATATAGTATGTAGTGCTAAGCTATCCTCATGCCAAATTTCAGGCCAATCAGATGTTTTACCTGAAAATGGCCTAAAAACCCAAATAAAAAAACTTAAAGGCATATTTCCAGAAAACTGAATAATGCACCTAAGGGTATTTGTCCACTCTACCTCCACACCAAATTTCAGCTCATTTGACCCAAAAATGAAGAAGCCACAGCAATTTGTTATATTACCAATGGCACCTGTCCTTGGTGCTGAATGTGTAACCTGTTGTGCATACAGTACTATATATGCTAGAGAAACACATTTCATGGAAGTTCTAAGTACCCCAGTGCCTAAGCTGTGAATGGATGATATATGTAAATGATGTTGCTCTACTTGAAGCATGGTTGAGACTGTGTTGTTTATTGTTGTTGTTTATTTTGGACTGTACCATTGTGTCCCCACCGAAGGGGGGTTTGTACTACAGGCTGTACCTGTGCCTGTACTGCACAGTGTCAGTGAGCTGTTGTTATGATGATCATCATTCAAGTAATCAATATTTTCTATCTCACTATGTGGTGTTGATGAAGTCATAACAATTAATACCTACAAGTGTATCAAACTTATCTGTCATAAAATAGATACTGTGTGTGCTGTTAAGATGTAAAATAGCTTTGCTTATGTCCCATTAGATGTCAAGGAAAGATAGGGCCAACACCATCTAGGTGTCTAGGTTGGGTAAAGTGAAAAACAGCTGCAAGCTAAAGAAAGAGAATAACCTGATAGACAATTTGAAAGTATATTTTCTTCCATCATCTACAATCATGTAGTTGGAGATAAGTGTGAATTTTCAGTACCTTTGTAGTTGAAAGAAGGGCCCTGTTTGTTGCCCGGACGACGATGTAAAACAGCGCCCCCTGTGCCAGGTTTGGGTGGTACAGCCTGAGCTCCGGGTGGGACTTTGTGGATGTGTAGGGATGGATGTCTGGAGAGACTGTAGCTGACTTTGTACTCCTGAGGCCAACCTCATAGTCAGCTATTCCGCTTTCAGCATCCCAACCCTCCCACTGAACATGTAGCTGCATGTGAATGTAGAAGGAAAAAAAGAAATAAGGACAACCTTGTGACTGTTACAGAAAGAAACACATGATTGTACAGTCTCAGCAGTATATGAACTCATCATAGACAGAACAAATTCTATACTGGATGAACAAAGGAGATTAATTCCAAATCAGGACATTTTGAGTGGCATTCATCTGTTGGTTGTTAATCCACTGTGTCTAGGACACGGTATTAGAAGGCAGAGCCAATCCCTCTCCCCCACAGAAGTCAGGTACCCATTTTACAGTTGGTTAGTTAGGAAAGTCCTGTACAGTGTCTTTCACAAGGACAGAATGTCTAGCCAGGAATCACTTCTTGATCTTAGGAAGCTGCTTGAACCAAAGTGCCCTTGAAGTGAGTAGTGTGCCAAATATTTTTAAGCCAAAGTACTCACGTGGTTCTCCATAGGTAGGTAGCCCATATCAGGGAGAGGACCAAGTTCTGTGCAGTTCTTATGACTTAACAGAAATACAATCTTCAATCAAAGACTTGATAAGAGAAATCATAACCCATTCTAGGCACTCACAGCTATGAAAACACTCCAGCAGGACAATTTTGGGAACTCTCTATAAAAACCACCTCACAGACTAATGCATTGTGGCCGAAGGTACTAATGTTTAAGGTCTCAAGCCATTCTTTGTCAAGCAGACATTGCACATATATGCCTGAGTGTGGGGGCCTTAAACTTTGACTGTAGACTTCAATCTATCACACTGAACATTTAAACTTGGAACTGTAAAATGGTTTACTTGATGTACATACCTGCAACTCTCAGGTAGGTCAGTCACAATCTCCCGTTCCCCGTTCTTGTTCACGATCCACACGTTTCCTCCGTCATCGCTCACCAGCCCCGGTCTCGCGTGGAATCCCGTGAGTCGGACGTGGCGCACAGAAGGCGGGGACGCGTCCACGGTGATGCCGTCAGAACAGGCGGGCTGGGACGGCGCCAGGGCAGGGTTGTACGCCACGACCGTGCAGAAGTACGTACCGGCTGCGGGCGCTGTCCAGGAAGCAAACTTTCTTGTGGTGTTGTGTATCTGAAAGCAAAGATGTTACAGATGAGTGGTCACAGCAGAAGGTACAACCCACTGCAGTTCATACAGAAGTAGGAAATAAATCTTACCATATGTATTATTTATATAATGCAATTTATCAACAGAAGGTACAACCCACTGCAGTTTAAAACAAAGTGGGGAACAAAATCTAAACCTTTATGTGATTTATATCACAGATGATTTTCAAAAACATAATCAGTATTCCTAGACCGGATGGTGTCGTCAACAAACACAACCGGGAATTCTAAACTTTGAAATGATCCTGAAATGATTTTTATCATCACTATCTTCCTAATAATATGTAAATTTTTAAGCTTTGAATTGATTCTGAAATGAAGGAATGCAAGTTAAAGATATTTTATCTCTAAGAATCTCAGTATATAACTCTAAACTTTGAAATGGTTTTGAAATGGTGAAGGATTGCAAGAGATTTTCTCACAATCTTTGTCAGCAAACTCTAGGCTTAGAAGGAATCTTGGCTCTGGTAGGTATAAGTTGTTGCCATAGTTTCTAGTAGAATGTATTGTTTAGAAACAGTATATATTAATACTATAATAATTGTATATATTAATACTATTATATACTGTTTCTAAACAATACATTCTACTGTTTGCAGCACTTATTAGCCAGACGTTTCCACTGCTGATTGCACCAACTGCATACTGTCAATAGTCCTTTTTATTTCGAGCTATAGAATTGAGTTTGGAGTTTCCATGGCAACAGAATCTGACATACCGAGTGGGTCCTGTGCAACGGTTGGCTGGCTGGGAGGGGGCGCTGGGCTTGCTGCGTCCCGCCTCGTTCTCTGCGGTGATGCGGTACTCGTACTCCAGCCCCTCGTCCACGGTCTCATCGATGTACCTGCAGTCCTTCACCAGGGACTTGTTCATACGGGCCCACCTGGGGACAAACAGACACAAGCATAAGGAATGCATGCAGTCTTGAATCATGGTGTTACAATGTAGAGAAGATTAGTATACAATTCTGTATCACTAATAGAGATTCTAAACAAACAAACCTGACAGCGGTACGCTCCTTACGCCCGACGATGTAGCCGAGAATCTCGGAGCCTCCGTCGGTGTCCGGTAGGGTCCAGGTGATCTTCATGGAGTCCTTTGTCACGTCTGACACTTCTGGCTTGCCAGGCTGGCTTGGAACATCTGAATGAAAAGAAGAGTTTCAGAGATACTGAAAAAGAGTCACGCTACTTGAAACATCGGACAGTTTTCAAAATCTATCCCGTTGCTTGAGTAGCTGTTTTCTTGTGTACATGTTTCTGATGTCCAACCTTCAATAACAAAGTTTCAGCAAAGCTTGAGAAAAATCCAGCCCTTTCTTAGACAGGAACTGTCAAAGAATGTCAGTAACGTTTAAGAAAGTGAAGCAGTTTCTACAAGATTTTCAATTTTTCCTCTGATCTCATGCACTGATGATGATGACGTAATTCCTTGTGTCCACAAAGATGATGATGTAACTTCCTGCATGCACAAATAATAATAACTTTATTGCGCAACAATTGTACAGGGTACAAAGTATGGCATCTACAAATACTAGGACTAACCTAACTAATAAACTAATCGAACTAAATACAAGAGTTGGTGTCTAGTATGAGATAGCATAGCTAACTTTTACAATCATTTGGAAGAATTTCTTATTTCTATACAGTCTTTAATATATATCCCTATGTGATAATGATGATGTAACTGATCTACATGCACAGATAATGATGATGTAACTCCCTGTGTGCACAGACAACGGTGACTCACCGAAGGGATGTCTGGCCACGACCTGCGGTGAAACAAGCGGCGGTCCAACTCCGATCTCCGTGTAGGCAGAGATTCGGAAGACGTAAGTCGAGCCCGGGGCCAGGCGAGTCACCTTGTAAGACGTCTTCCTTACGGCTGCGCTGACACGGGTCCAGTTGTCTGGAGACCTGCAGGAGGAAAGGGAAAGTTCTTGAGTCAAGCATGCCATAAAGGGATAACTTTCACTTGATTATGAATACAAACTTGCAGTTATTGCAGTTCTCCTACAGAATTATATTGGTGCCAAGATGTAACTGGAATTTGTTTCCCATTTTGAGGTACATTGTATACTTAAAAGTCCTTCCTGAACCAGATGGTGCATATTTCACTCATTCTCTATCCCTGTTCAAAGATGGACTGTTCCATATCATCCTTTTACAGAAATGAACCATTCCAAAGTCTCTTCTATTCACAAATTGACTACACAAACATCACCACCCTACTTCAAAATGGAACTTAAAGATTTGTCAGTTTCCTTATTTCTAGTTCCTTGTGAGGATGTGGCATCCATGCATACCTGAGGTCACAGCGCTCCACGATGTAGCTGGTTATTGCAGTTCTTCTAGTACAGACTTATATTGTGCCAAGTTGCAACTGGAATTTTTTCTAATCACATATAGACTACACAAACATCACCACCCTCCAAATCGGAACTTTGAAATTTGCCATTTTTAGAGATCTACTATTTTGTGAGGATGTGGCATCTGTGCATACCTGAGATC